TCTTCTGTGTTACCGAGGCCCCTCACTCCCTGCTGCCTTCACCTGGGGTGAGCTGCAGCCTAGGCAGCCTCGGGAAAGGTGAATTTGGGCTGCTGCCTTCACCTGGGGTGAGCTGCAGCCTAGGCGGCCTCGGGAAAGGTGAATTTGGGGTGCTGCCTGCCCCGGGAGGCTGGGGCCAGGGGGTGCTGGGGGTGCTGTGCCCTGCGGGCTCGGATGGGATGCTGCCCTGGGGACCAGAGCGAGCTCTGCCCTGCTCACTTTGGGAAGTGCCACCCCGCAGGGTTTGCCTGCCTTGACGAAGCAAGACCGTGGGCATTGATGTGAAGGCGCAAGGTTTGTGCTCCCACCACAGCACCTCACTGGAGTACTGTGGGGGGAGGATGCTGCACCATGCTCTGCCTCGTGCCCCTTTTCCGTCCTTTCCCCGTGTAACTTGTCCATCCTTCCCTCTGCATTCTCATTCCTCCAGCACAGCGATAGGATATATTCAGTTTAAAAATAGGACTGAGGCTGACGTTCCCAAGAGAAAGCTGTGCTAACTCATGGCTTATCCTTTGGGTCGGAGTTGCCGTGATATCCTGTTAGAGTGAATGCAATGGCAGGCGGGGATGAAAAATCACTTAAAGATCCTGAGGGCTTGGGCCTGAGGTGACCCTGACAGCACGCGTGGCTTCAGCTGTCGGCCGTGCTCACGGAGCAACGGCCACATCTGGCCCAGACCGAATAATTTGGGCCCTGGTCTGTGCCGTGGCCCCGTGAAGGAGGGCAGCCCATGGGCAGGGATGCTGGGAGGCCAGAAACCCTGCTTGGGGTTTTGAGGAGCACTGCAGGTGCATGGCCAGGAAGGGGTTAGGGGCTGCAAAGGGGATGGATGGGAAATCGGGGCATCCATGCCAGCTGGGGTTCTTTTTGGGAGACGTGAGTTTGGAGGGGCTGCCTGCGCCGTGCCCCCCCCGGACCCTGTTCCGCAGCAGCATGGCAGAGGGGCTCTTTCCCATGAGACATGCGCAGCCTTTGACGCTACAGCTGTCTTGCAGGGACTTGGATTATATGAAGTTCCTTCCTCTTTAATCTGAGATTTTCTGCCCAGAAAGGAGACAGCAGCACCAGCTCCGCACTTTGGAACAGAGCCAGCTCTGGCCCGGGGCACGTGCTGGTGGCGGGGGGGGGGGGGCCCGTGCCAGAGTGTTGCTCTGAGGAGCCATCCGCTGTGGGGAAGAAGTTGGCTTTTGGCAGGGAAACCCCAGCTTTTGCCCCTGGGAAACTGGGCTTGACCCAGGGCACCCCAATAACCGGGAGGATGTCTCCCAGCCAGCATGGCTACCCCCCGCCAAAGGCCAGCAGGTTTTGGGGTGCCCTCGAGGACAGGGAGTGTGCTGGAGAGGGTACATGCTTTGTTGCAGTGGGGCTGCACAACCCCATGCCTCTTGGCAGTTGCTACCGCTGGGGCATGTGGGGTGAGGAGGGGCGGCCCACCAGCCCCCCAAAGCACCCCCCAGGTCCTCAGTGCCGGGACCTGGGTGCCTCTGGGAGCTGCACTTCCTCCTTAAAATAAACATGGGAAGTGGTGATCCGATCCCCCCGGCCTCAGGGATTTAACGGCGGCTTCATGTTTGCTCTTGGCACGTTAATCCACGTGGCCCTTCACTGGGGCTGGGTGAGATGTTCTCGCCGGCTCCTTCCTCTGGGGCCGGGGCCACTGAGACTGCCCTGAGGCCACCGACTTCCAGCAGGACCACCCCAGGGCTGCAGCCGGGGGCAGCAATGCTTTTTTCCCAGGGTGGGAAGGGCACGTTGGGGACGTGGTGCTTACCCCGGCTCCCCCCGGCTGGCGGGGACGTCGGGGGGACGCCTGACCCCTGCTGCCACCCTTCCTTTGCCCAGGGGGACACTGTGCTCTGTGGGGAAGCGAAACGTGTTGGTGCTGTTGCTGAATGATGCCTGGAGGTCAAAGCTCTTCTGTAAGATGAGTTATAGGTCACGTATGCCCCGCCGGGGGCCAGAGCCCCATCCTGATCAGAAAATACCCATTTGAGGGGAAAATGGCTTGTTTTCTCATGGCTGGGCTGCATAGCACCCTGCTCCCTGAGTCCTGCTGTGAGGAGGGGCCTAAGAAACCATTATTGGTACTTTTAGCCCCAAATGGTGTGTGCGATACCTTTATTTTCAGAGTCCAGCATGTAGGGGTGGAGGACGGGCAAGGCTGATCTCAGCAGGCTGGCTGTAGGCACAAGGGGCTTTTCCCACCCTTGAGAGGGATTTCCCCAGGGGTGAACTTGCTCTGTCGCAGCCGAGTCAGAAATTGTCCTCCAAAAAGCAGTTTTCAAAAAAAAAAACCAAGCACCACCCTGTAGCCATGCCAGAGTCAATGCAGGTCCCTCTGTGGGGCGGAGGGACGGAGCAGGAGCGCTGCAGGGAGCCAGGCAGCCGAGGAGCAGTGTCGTGTGGAGAGGAAATGCAAGCCTATGAGACTGGTTTTTTTTTTTTTTTTTTTTTTTTTGTCAC